CGCCTGCAGCAGGGCCCCGCGGTGCTTCCCCGCGGGGGAAGGTGCGCGGGCAGCGCGGGAGGTGCTGCCTCCCGCCCCCACGTGTGGGCCGAGAGCGTCAGCTGAGCAGCACAACCCAACGTGCGCGTGAAAACTCAGCTGTGCGGGGTTGAGTTGCAGCTTATGAAATAGCTTTTTTTTCTCTGATTCTTTTATTGATGTTGTTGTTTGATTGCTGACATTTTTTTTCCTACCTGTGGTGGTTTTGACCAAGGAGAAAATAGGGACTGCATATCCTGGGGAATTGCTCTGTGTCTGCAACTATTTCATTGCTGTGAAATTGTTGTACCAAAAATAGATGGGGAATGGACAAGACCCTGCAGTATCTCACCAAGTCGACCTCTGTGCTGCCACTGTTAGGGAAATTATTATGGGCTTAACAACACATAGATAAAAACTTCCCCGTGATGCCTTCTCAGTCCATGTTTGGCAGATGGTTCCTTTTCACTGTCATCAACCCCCAGTAAAAATAGCGGGTCTCACACAGCTCAAAACACTGATGCTGTGGGTTTGATGTCCTTGTTTCTTCTTAGATTGCACGTAAACATCAATTTTTAATGATTTTTTTTCAGCTAGGGCTGGTGCTCCTCTTGTTGGCAATTCCAGGACATGGAACAGTGTAGACTGGAGCTCTTCTGAGGGGATTCCTGCGCTGCTGCAGGAACGGGCTCCGAGTCCCCGGGCCGGCTGGCGCGGGAGGCGGGGGCTGCGCGTGGAGGGGCCGTGTCTGGCGTGTGACACCCGACCCGTGTCCTCGAGCAGCAGCGGGTCCCCGTGGGCAGCTGTGCGGGGGCGTCTGCTGCAGGGAGCAGCGGGTCCCGCTGCGCGACCCCAGCGAGCAGGGACCGTGGGGACATGTGCCGTTTTCTCCGGGATTTGCATGGGATTAGATGTCACAAGTCATACAGGGCTCTTACCAGGACACGTTACAGAGACATTGCACATTCCCAGTTGGAAAAACTGTGTTGAAGCCGCGGCCTCCCGCCCTGCTGTTTTGGAGCGGTCTTTACCAGAGTTGATTTTGGGTTCAGCTCGAGAACCGCGGCAGGGTAGGTAACAACCCCGAGTGCCCGTGGAGGGGCAGCGGGCGGGTTCAGGCCAATTCCTGACTTTGGGAGGGCTCCGTCGGGAGCGGCTCTCCGGGCAAACGGCCGTGTCAGCGCGGCCTGCCGAGCTGGCCCTGGGCTTGAGCGGTCCCGTCAGCCCGGGCCACACTGCAAACCTTGTTGGCATTTACCGAAGATTTTCTTTCTCTGAAGCGATGGGTTACTGCCATGCCAGCTGCTATTGCTGAGGCCAAATGCAATAATGTGTATTTCATTTCTAAGTGCTTTGTAAGTGCTGCTACCAGAGAGCACTGCAGAGGAATTTAAGAAATCATCTCGGGGTTACGCCATTTTTTTTCTGAGAGAAAATATCTTACTATTTTTGGTACCACTTAAACTTTTATTTTTCCTTTGCTTATTTGTTAAGAGACATATTACTCTTCTTTTGCCCTCTCCCAGCTGCCTGGAGTATTTTTAAAAGAATAGTTCAAGAGGACATTACAGACGTGTTAAAATTTTCTGCCAAAATTCAAATTTAAACTTTTGCTAGAGCACTTCAAAGTTGGGAGGAACTTGAGTTGGAAATTGATGCAGATATAGGATGTATGACAGATGTATCTATAGAAACCTGTTAAGATGCAGATTATCCCCCTGGGGAGGGGAGATCAAAACTGCCAATCTATAAAATACACTTGTTAGGGGAAGGCATGGAATCTGTCTCCGCAAGCACTTTGATTGCAGGGGACAGTGTAGCAGCATGTGGCATCATAACCTAAGAGCAGGCAAATCAGCTTGATGACTTTCAAAGCCAGGAATACTGCTGGAGGCAAGGGTACTCCAGTCTGGAAGAAATTAAAACATATAGAGACTGTTATTAATTCCAGATCTATTTTTGTGTAGTCAAATCTGTATGCAAATCCTCAGCATCTCATTTTGGCAGATTAATCTAAAAGTGGAGAGCGGTATGTGAAGGGAATGTAATGATGAAACACCAAGATGAGCAGTATTGCAGGGGGAGAGATGTGAGCTGCTGCGCGCTTGATGCGAGGAGCTGTGTGGAGAGACGAAAATAATTTTGCGTATTTGATTATTTCATCATTTTGCCGGGGAGCAGCTCCCTCCTTTCCCTTCCTCCTCGCTGCCTCCCTCCCCACGCTCGGCTGCTCCTCTCTGTGGTGTCCCTGTCTGCCGCGCTGGTGCTCCCCGGCACGTGGCTGCCAGGGGGCCTCAGCGGCGCCCCCCTTCCTGCTGGGACAAACCTAGCGGAGCCGCTTTGGCGGGAGCTCCTTCTGGTCCCGGCTTCCAGGCTCCGGCGGAGAGCGGTGGGGCCGGGGATCGTGGAGGTGCTGCAGGGCCCGGCGTTCCCGGCGGCTCCCATGTGTCCCGGGAGCGTTTGCTCAGCTCCGGTTGCAGCCTGGAGGCTGAGGCGTTTCCCCATGCTTCCTTCAGGGACACCTACCATGAAACCCACCAGGTTACAGGATGCTCCAGCACTGAGCCCGTACTGCCCTTGGGGAGGTGAGGAGATGCTTGGGGCATCTTTGATAAAAACCCGTCCTAGGCTTTTCCAAGGTTGTCCCCACCCTGGTTTCTACACATTCCTGAAAAGTAAGTAGTGGTAAAGGGTTGATGTTGCTGATCCCTATGGAGGAACCTCCCAGTGAAGTCTACAGCTAAGCCAGGAGATGCGCCCTCATTAACGTAAGGCAAGTACAGAATTTAGAAATACCAGGCAGTTGCTCAGAGCTGTGCACAGTTTTCCAGCCGGCGCTGCTGCCCTCACACAGGGATAGCTCCTCTCCACCTCTCCCTTCTCTGTGGCATAAAACGGTCTCCGCTTTCTCCAAACCGTGTCAGGCGCTGCGGGTCCTCGCAGCAGCCGCGGCTTCTGTCGCTGTGTCTTGAAAGGGCTGAATGGGCAGTCGTTCCTCAACAAACATGTTTTTATCCTGTTTGTAACCCATGGATTTAGAGGGAAAGTGGGAGGAGAGCTGGTTGTTGTTATTTTATGGCCTTTTTTTTTTTTTAGCAATGTGCTCTTACCCAGATTAAAAAGTGCAGCGGAAAGTAAAGTGTATCTGGTTGGGGACAGTACAACTGCGTCAGCAAACGAATCCTAGCACTGGTTAGTTTGCTTTGCACAATCTGGGTCTCGGTTTTGTTCATGTGAAAAAATGTAACCTGTGTAAACTCTTTCATAGGAGGAGTAACAAATACGGCACAGTACCAAAACAGGCTCATGGTCTATGATCCAAAGCAGGTGGGTGTCCGTGTTGTGTGTTTTTCTCATATGTTTTGCTTTGACCAGGTCTAGTAGCAAATGCCTCTGAAGATTTTGTAAGGTTGAAAGTGATGCCCGAGTGAATTGGTAGTGTTTTACACTAACTCCATACTGATGTTTCTGTTTAATCGTGTAATGAAGACTCTGACATTTTCAGTATTTGTGAAGCCTTCGGGTGTCAGAAAAATCCTGGAGGAAACATGGAAGTGTTTTAGATTTCCTGATTTCAGTGGTGTTTATTTTGCTTGCTCCTTTTTCTGTAACAAAGCCTTGGGCAGCAGATACCTGAGCCAGCGTCACAGAAGTGCTACTTTTCATTGGCATTTCTGCTCTGAAATTGCCTAGTAACTTCTGTAGCAGCGCAGGCCTTTTGTTTCCTGCACGCTCGCAGAACTATGCTGCCCGTCGGGGACTTACTCCACTGGCTTCTGGGGCACCTAGCACGGCACTACACAAGCGCTTAGAGTATCTTTTAGGGGTTATTTATTTCACGTCCCGCGTGTGTCTTGGGTAGGTTAGAGCTCGGTGCCCATTTCGGAGGCTGGGGGCTGTTTCTGCCCTTGCTTGCGGGAGGAAACATGGCCAGTTTTTAACTTCATCCACTTTTTAATATATTAATCTTTGTCAGTCACTGGGTTATCTGATGTAGGCGTAGCAGAAGCAATTGCTTTCTTAAAGAAAGAAGTGCTGTGTCTTAATCCCGCTGCTTCCTTGTCCCCGCACCTCTTTCCTCAAAAAGTAGCACTCTGGGATGTCATTAATCAGGAGGGAAGATTTGCAAAGGGATGTTGCTTTGCAAGTACCCCCCAAAAAAAGGGTTAGCATTAAACCCACTTCTTGAATCGTTTGAAAAGATTCTCTAGGAAAGTATTTTTTTTCCCCATTCCTTTGCTCCCCAAGGAGAAGATCAAATAAGCTTCTGATTAGCAAAAGGTAGAAGAATCTCTCCTCTCATAACATAGCTTAGCTGGTCTGGATAATTTTAGTGCTATATACAAAGGAGACATCTAAAACTTTATTTTTGCTTGAAGCATAATAGTCCTGCTTAAGAGGGATTTGCTGCTGAATTATAAAGGTGAAAAAAAAGGCTTTGAAATCTGATGAGATAAACAGAAAAACACAGAGCCAGAAATACTAATAAATTACTAAATCCGAGAACTAGTGTAGTAGGCAGTGTAGAAGATCCAGTATATGCAGACCGTGCTACAATGGGCCCAGGTGTAGCACAAGGGCGCAGTGGGGCCGAGGGGCAGGAGCCCGCGAGGAAGCTGCTGCTGCTGCTG